GTACAGCACCTCTTCTCCAGATGACAGGAAAATGAGATAATCCATCAAAGCAGCAGTGGGAGACTGCAAAGGAAGAGATGATTTATGTGCTTGGAGTCATGAGAATATGAAGTGAAGGTTGAGTATCACCTAGGATCGCTTCAGAGTGGAATAATTTGACCTTAAATCTAAATTCTGCTCTTTTAAAAATCCTAAATTGTATGGTACACCAGCCATTTCACACATTTGTGCTTGAGTGGGCAGCTTGGACATGGTTCTTGCCCTGCAAATGTGTTTATTCCATCTATCCCTGCCCTCTCATGTTTAAGTGGTGATGTCATGAACTGAGAGATTTTTGGGTCTCACAGCTTGTCATTACACCCCAGTTTACGCATTAGGGCTTTTAGAGACTGAAGCATTCCGGTTCTTCTTAGCCATGCTAACTCTAAGAGACAAGGCAGTCCAAGTAACTTCAAAACAGTGCTGATTTATTCAATGAACACAGGTCAAAATTAACATGCACGCAGCAGCTGAAGGATGAAAGACCCTGAACCACAACAGGCCTATACATTATATTGCTTTGGGCTAACCCCATTCTACACAGGAACGTCAAACCGTGACGTATCCCTGGTGCCAGCTTTGCAGCTGACCAGAGCGATAGTCAAAACATGAAGAAAATCAATGTGTGATTGTCCGTTGATTGTGTGGTGTGTATCTAAGACATTCTGACATGACATCTAGTGACATGTCATGACATTAAGCATAGAAGATATTATGATTACGATTATGATTAAACACGTCATACTAATAATAATAATAATCATCCTGTCTTCTAACAGTCAAACCTTCTATCTAGTTATCCTTGACCATAAGCAACCTGTCTACTCTAAACATTTCTAGTACAACAAGTACCTAACCAATATCTATCTGACTAAAAATACCTAAGAAGACCTTAGGGTCTGTATATGTGTGGGCTGTTTGGGACATTTTCATTCTCTCTCATCGTGGTCAAATGTACTCCCTGCCGAAGCCATGATCACAGTTGTGAACTGCAGATTTGTCATGTTTTAAAAGGAAGATGACTCACTTATGTATAGAAAGTATATTGTGTACAAAAGTAAATATAGTGTTTCCAGCAGTTGGTATGACCAGTGTCTGATGCTGCACATTTGAATTCAAGGGCTGACCAGCATCAAACAAGGGAGTGAGAAAACTAAACAAAAGAACACTGAATGGTCCGGTACTTTCACAGTAACGTGATGCAGTTCTGAAGCAGTGGCTCCTCATTATCACCTCAGTGTTACTTCATACATGAAAATAAGACAAAGGTGTGCAAAGAGGCGAACACAATTAAATGCAAATGTTTCATCTCTTTCTCAGTACTAAAGCTGAAGTCCCATGCAGCCATCTTCAGGCAACACCTTTTAAAATGCAAATCCAAACAGAATTAAAATGTGAGACGCCTCGAGTAACCATTATTTGTCATGTAGAAATACTTTTCAGGTGAGAAAAACACAAGTGAGGCTGACAGTGTGCAAGCAATAAACAGCACCACTCAAAGTTTAGGGCCACAGCATCAAGGACATTGTGATGGTGACTCCAAATTTTTGCAGCTTTCTTTATAGCATGTCTGTTCTGTTGTGAGCCCACTGTATAAAATCAAAGTCAGACCTTCTAAAGAAAGGCTTAACTTTGCACTTATGCCCTGACTGGAGCAAACTGCCCACAAATGCATGGGCAGGGACTGGCCAGGCAACTTTCTTTGACTAAATGAAACCTCCCTTTTACATAGTGAATAAACAGTGAGAAAGCGGTACCTCCCAGTGAATGCTCCACCTGCAGAATCGCATCCTGTCAGCTTGTATTTTCCAACTTTCCCACTGTTGTCCGGTCTTTTGATGCAATTGTCAGTAGAATACTAGGGACAACATTACAGCAACCAACTGGACGTGACAGGAAACTATCAAAAAGAGTTTTGGTCATAAAAAAAAGAAAAGTCAGCAATTGAAAAGCTGAAATTAAGAACATCAAAGCTAAACATCATATTAAAATAATGGATTTAATTAATCAGAGATTGACAGGTTTTTGTTTAGTGTTTACTGGAGCTAATCAGCATTATCAGGGATGTTTCCTTGTTCTACAAAGATTAGTCTGACACTGAAGACCTGAATCTTATGTTGACTTGTGATCACACTAGCACAGTTCTGAAATGCCTCCTATTTGAGCCTCTTCTGGTCACCAACCAAGGGGGGATCTGGTGGTTTGGCACAATGACCTGTTAGGTATTTTTAGTCAGATAGATATTGGATAGATACTTTATGTATTAGAAATGTTTAGTGGAGATAGGATGTCTAGTTAGACTGTTAAATGCTTAGTCATGCTTATGAGTTTCTACAGGGTACATCTGGTCAAGGATAACTAGAGAGAAGAGTTGATGACTGTCAGCAGACAGGATGTTTAATATTATTATTATGATGTGTATAACTGTAGCCTTAGCCATAATATGTTCTTATGTTTAAGTCACGACATGTTACTAGA